CATCAACATTATAATGATTTTTGCCTTCATAAAATGTCATATACTCAAGTGCATTCCAGATTGCTTGTGTTATTTATTTTTAAACTGTTCTTGAATTATAGATACATTCTTGGGGTTGGGTGGAGATCAAGCAAGATGTGTTCCTTAGGATGGAAATGTGCCAAAAAGAGCCGGAGCAATTCAAAAGGAACCATTACAAAAGAACAATCATTCTTTCTCAAGAAACATCATGATGTCCTTATACAAATTGGTTCAGGTTTGCTGCTGTTTTTCTTTTCAGTATAACTACACTATAATGCATTTTTATTATGCCTGCTGTTAGCCAGCAGAAGCATGTAGGGATCACTTTGTCTCAATGCTTGAGCATGTGTTTAGCAGGGTCATTCGTGTTCTCAAACACTTATTTTGATAAGAAAGGGATTTTATTGCAATCACCTTGTCTCTCTGTTCCTTTGTCTGACAGACAAGTGCATGCAAATATGTTGTATTGTGTATCTTGAAGCAAATTATCAGTTTGTATGTCTGTTTTGGTAAAATATTATTTTCTATCATATCTTTTGTTTGAAAGTAAGTAAATGTATTTCCTGGACTGTGCTGATGCAGAAAAAAGGGAGGCTCTGCTTCATTAATTTTTGTGCATGCATTCAAAATTTTTGCATTTTCATAATTTTTGCAGGAGTATGCACCAACTGCAGGAAAGAACTGGTACAAAAAATGGTAACAGCTTCTGCAGAAATGGAACAAGAAGAAAGTACAAAATGTAATGTAAGTAGTGACAACAAAGAGTGTAATATTTACACAAAACCAGGATATCCTTGCAATTTCTTTTTTCTCCAAAACAATGACACTTTTGTGTCTTCTGCAAAGCATAGCAAACTTAGTGAAAATTTTGTAAGGTGTCTGTCTATCAGTCCATCTGTCTGTCATACTGTAGATATCACAGCCCATAACTTTTGAATAAAGTGTGATTGGATACTTATATTCACATGTGTGTTGTTTGTGACAAGACCTTTCTGCAGTTACAAAATGGAGATATGATGTTCTTTTTTAAAAGATAACATTGACCATAACTTTTACATGGGAAGTGATACAGGGAGTTGATATTTCACATATTGATTTCTTGTGATAATATCTTTCGCTGGTCAAGGTAAATATTAGAGTCAATAGGAATGCAGGTGACACATGTACCTTTAACACTGTAGTTATTTCACGTCAACAAAGTTGAGAAGAACTAATTTGGAGTATCCCCTTTGTCCAGTTTAATGTCTTGTATCATATCTCAGCCACTATATGCTATAGGGTCAAGTAAGTTTGTAAACAGGTGTAAAATATTTTCAGGAGAATCATGATGATAATGAGTTGCAATGTGAACTACCAAATGACCATGAAGTTCAAGCAGATCCAATGGATATTGAACAAATAAAGGTTTGTGTTGAAATTTTTACATGTACTGAATTATTATGCCCAAAGAGCAGGGGCATATTTTTGTTTGTCCTGTCTGTGTATCTGTTGTCAACTTTAACCTTTGCCATGACTTTTGAACTGTGAGAGATAGAGACTTCATATTTGGTATGCATACTCCACTAATGAAGCTCTTTCAGTGACCTTGAGACCTTGACCTTTATGCTAAAACTAGCTTTTCTAAATTTGTTGCCGCTGGGGGCATACTGTTTCACAAACTTATCTTGCTTTAAATTACTTTTAGCATCAGCTTGTTTATTGTAAAGTATCAGCCACTATATGCTGTAGGGTCATGTAAATTTGTAAACAGATATGAAATACTTTCAGGAGAATCATGATGATGATGAGTTGCAATGTGAACTACCAAATGACCATGAAGTACAAGCAGATCCAATGCATATGGAACAAGTAGAGGTTTGTACTGAAATTTTTACATGTACTGAGTTGTTTAAAATTACTTTGAGCATCAGCTTGTTCATAAGAGCCCCGACTCAAAGATGCGGGAGCCCTATAGTAATCACTTTGTTCATCCATTTCTTTGTCAAGCGATAACTCAAGTGCTATTTGTCCTGGAAATTCAGACTTGAAAAGCCATTTGACCTATGAACTTCATATTTTATACACAGACAAGAGGCCTAAAATGGGCCTATATTGCTCACCTGAGCTTGAGTCAAAGGTCGTGAAGGACCATGATATCATGAGGCACATTCATGTCATGTATGAAGCTGTTCTTTTGAGGCGGGTAGGAAATACATTTCAGACAAGAAAATTTCATTGAAGTCTACTGTGACCTTGGCATCAAAGTCTGACCTTGGGTTAGGGTCATGGCACACCACCTTATCATGAGGAGCATTGTATGCCAAGTATGAAGCTGTTCCATGAGGCATATAGAAATACAGACCTGACAAGAAAACTTCATCAAATTTTACCTTGACATTGAAGGTGTGACTTTGGCTCAGGGTCGTGAAACATTGTCTAAGCATGAGTAACATTTGTGCCAAAAATGAAGTTGTTTTAAATTAAGTTGTTAGTTGGATTTATTTTTATATCTTTCTTTTGTAGGTGGAATCAACTACAGACGACAACTTTTCCCAACCAACACCTTTTGGAAGTCAGTTATCATCTGAATGGCAGGATTCTCAAGAGCATGAAGATAGTCCATTACGTAAAAGGAAGGCCTTGAATACTTTTCTTGATGCCATAGGTGTTAGTCCAATCAAAAAAACACTAACTGTCGAATTTGAATCTGCATCAAAAAGGACACAGAATGATTATCTAAAAAAATCAAAAGATATTATTCACAACATCATTTCTATCATCGCCCCTAACCAAGAGGCTCTGTTAGAAAAGGCTATTTATTCAAGTAATCCAGACAACGAAGACACAAGCATTATTGAATCTATTTCAAAAGCTTATTCTAGCATGACCAGCTGGGGAACTCAGAGACAACTTCTTTCTTTATTGGTGGAGGACCACAGTTACAATGAGATTAAGGAGTGCATACCATCTCTGTCAAAATACAAGTATACTGCGGCTCGTAAGCATGCTGCGATCAATGGCATTGGCATGCCAATAGAGAATAGATCACAGACAAGAGAAAAAGCTACAAAGGAGCAGATAGAACATTTCTTAGAGTTCATAATGTCTCCAGCAATAATGACTGATTCCCCATTTGGTACTTGTTCATATAAAATCTCTTCAGGAATCACTTTGAATGTTCCCAAAATAATTCTGAACAGTGTACGGACTAGAACTGTATCATTATATATGAAGTTCTGTGAGGAAGTAGAGTTTCGAAATGTTCTTTCTGAAAGGTCATATATGAGGATCTTGGAAGCAGTTGAACCAGGTATCAGGAAGTCAATGAGAGGACTTGATAATTTTGCCGCTGGTGGAAGCCAGGCTTTTGATGACCTCAAAAACGTTGTTAGAGTATTAGGTCAGCTTGGAAAAGGACACGAATGGTCAGAGAAGATGACTGGCATGCTTAATGAAGGAAAGCAGTACGTAAAAGTTCAATACAAGGTACTACTAACTTTTAAGATGAAATCGTAGATTTGCTGTAGATTCATTTAATTTTGGGACTACCAACATTCACCTAAACCTTCAGCTCAGGTGAGCTAAAGTCATAGCGCGTAGTCTGTCTGTTGTCTGTTATCTTTTCACGTTTTCCACTTCTCCTTTGCAAGTACCCAAGTCCTTTAAGAAGTTTGTGTTTTTTGGGCTGAGCCATCAACAGATACAGCTGCATGGCCTCTGATTGGCCGACACATTTTCAACTTCTCTTCTGCAAGCACTGTGACCCAATTAAGATTTCTATTGATTTTAGGGTCAGTCGGTCAAAATTCAAGCTCTCATTGTCCTTGTGTATGAAAATAATTTCTTGACTCAAAGTATACTTTGCAGTTGTTTTCAATATAGGATCAGTACATGACTGTGGGTCAAAGGTCATGGCCTCATTAACTTTTGTTGTGGCAGGGTATTTGTCCTGTGGGACAGCTCTAGTTTGATTCTGATAACATACAAAGACAAATGTGAAATGGTGCTCACTACATGTAAAGGTTTCTTGAATTGTCATAAATTTTTTCTGTGTGTTTTGATTTCTGTATGAATTATTATTCACTCACATACTCATCAGATGAAATTAAACATTTTCTTGTTGTTATTTTCAGTTGCACATCAGTGAGAACTCTGAAATACCTGACCACTGCTGTACTCATGCGCTGTCATCAGAGGACACTGCTTATTCAAAAGCATGTGACCATTCACATCAGAAAGTTTGTGATGAATGCAATGGCATCACCAGTCTATTGGATGAGTTACAGGGAACAATTAGTTGCCATGAGGTTAACTTCACTGATCATGACCAAAAAGATGACATTCAATATACAGTTGCAGAGGTATTTAAACCAGAACATAAAATCAATATTTGACTTGTACCGGTATTATTACGTACCTAGTTGTCAAGTGACCAAGTACGGAATTATATCTGGGTAGTAGGTTTCATCCTGTTCCTGGTCACTCTATGACTAGGTACCGATTTTACCCCACCGATGACCATTTTGACATTTACCATCTTTTAAAAATTTGTCATTGCTTCATTATTGCCGCCTGAAGTTTACCTGCTGTGACGTCAAATAAACAATGGAAATAAAGTGATGTCACAATATGCTCACAATTCATTTGAAGGTTACAGCTTATAAAGTTGAAGGTGACCAGATAAAAGATACACACTGCTTTCACGTGACTATTATGAACCAATCACTGACCGAGTTGTCACTGCAAACTAGTGAGAGGTGGGGTAAAACTTACAAGGTGTTTTTTACTGCTGAGTTTTATTTAAGGTATTAGATATTCCTGGAAAATTTGCACATCCATCCAGAATCAAACACCTAAGAACATCCAGTGTTAGACATTCATTGCCTCTATTTACATTGCTACTGAATTTTAGATAACCTAATTTATATAAGGGAGATGTATGTTACATGTAACAACATCAAAACTTAATGTGATACACTTATCTACTTGCAGAGTGTGAAGTTGATTAAAGAATGGAAAATGCACATTATTCGCACAGTAAACCAAGACAGAGCAAGAACGAATATTTTGAAAAATATGAAGTCGGATGAAGCACTTCTAGAAAGAGATTGGGCTATGAAGTTCCTTCCCCTACAATACAGGTATTTTCTCAGGGTTTTGCAATACTTTTAGGCTGATTACATACCTTCACGTAATTTTTCTCTTGTAATTCATAGGTCACTATCCCCTCACAACAAGGTTGCAGGGGGATATTGTAATGTCAGCGTTCATGGGTTCTTGGATTTGTCTCTCTGTGTGTATGTGTTTGCATGAAAATACATTGTAAGCAGAATACAGGTTACAGTTTTGATCCAATAGATTTCAACTTCATATGAACACTGTCCTTGCCTCCATAGCTGAGCTGCCACCCCCATCACCAAATCTCCCTAACACTTATCATTTTGAATACGTGAGACTCCCCCCTACCCCCGCTTTCCTCTACTCCACACATGCTCATACTTTATATATATATATACATACATACATATATATACATATATATAAATCTATATATATAACTGAGCACCCTCACCCCTTTATAATTTCTAACAAATTGTCCCACTTTCATACCCACTTTCTTCTTATGGTCCCAACTAATAACTTCTAGTTCCACATGATAAAGCTAATCCTCAGAAATGAGTTTGTAATTGGAATGATATTCTTCCCTTCATAGACCAGGTTTTGTGTGAAAAATCTTCTCTATTCACAACTAACACACTTCAAACATGTATCCGTGTTTATTCTGTTCATTGTCAAGCAAGTGATCAGGTTTTCATGGAGTGAAGCTCAAAATTTGTTTTCAATCTAGAAGTTAGACAGTGCTTCATTTTATTACCCCCTCCCCCACAAACAAGTTTGGGGTTGGTGGTGTTACATTGAAATTACCATGTCTGTCTGTCTGTCATCTGTTTGTCCAGACCGTATCTCTGCAGTTGTAAAATAAAATTGCATCATTGTTCTCAGGATTATTGCCCAGGACCTAAGGGTGTGGGTTCCCATGGGCAACTTAAGGGTCTCTTGTTACAATATTTTGAGAAATTTTGAGATTTTGAGAAACATTTCAAGTGACAAACTTACAGTGTCTTTGACTGTAATGTAAATACATTGTAACTTAGTATTGCTCATTTATTTCAGAGAATCCCAAGCAAAATGGTTTGCTAAAAGAGGGCTGTCATGGCATATCAGTGTTCTGTCATGGAAAGAGGAAGCCTTAAGATCAGCTACCTTTGTTCATGTTTTTGATATTGCAAATCAGGATGCAATAACATCAGCTGCCATTCTGCAAGATACTCTGGGTCGAATAAAGAATCTTAATGCAGCAATACAGAATGTTTATGTACGGTCTGACAATGCTGGCTGTTACCATTCAGTTTATGGCATTGGAGTTGTTCCTTGCATTAACCAAATGAACAGAAATGATATGAATATAAAACGAATGGATTTCTGTGACCCACAAGGCGGTAAATCAATTTGTGATCGAAAAGCTGCTCATATAAAATGGTACATAAAAAGATTTGTGAATGAAGGAAATAATGTCTTGAATGCCAGTGACTTCAAGGCTGCTCTTGAAAACAAGATGAACAATGTTCAAGTTATTGTGTCTTTGCCACCAATTTCCAAATCACCAAAAGTGTTGCTGAAATTACAAAACATCAGTCAGCTTTTTGATTTCAGTTATGACAACAGAAATTTGACTGCTTGGAAGCAGTATGAGATCGGAAAAGGCAAAACAATAAATTATGACACTGCAGGAATTAATTTAAATTGGGTAATCCCTGAAATTACTCCTAAGTCTGTATCCGAGGTCACATTAACATCTCCACCCATAGAAACACAGACAAACGTAAATTCTTCATCACCCACATGTCAAGAACAAGATGCAACAGCATCTTCATGTATAGATGTCAGCAACCAAGAAATGGTGGAATCGTCGTGTGCAGATGACTGCAGCAATGTATTCACCTGTCCAGAGGATGGATGCATATCTACATTTTTAAGATACGGCCATTTGTGTAACCACTTAGATACAGGAAACCACACTTTTTCAGTTGAGAGAATGGACTTGCAGGATCGCTCAAGATTTTCGTATGCTATCCTAATTGAAAATAGACTTACTGGTCCAAATTTGAATGGATCAAAAGATGCTTCTTCAGGTGTGAGCACTTTGGAGAGAGGATGGGCTCTTAAAAAAAAGAGAGAAGTCAAAAGATTTACTGAAACTCAAAAATCCTTTATGACCAAGAAATTCAACCAAGGTGAATCAACAGGATTCAAATGTGAACCTGAAGAAGTGGCACGAGAGATGAGAAGTGTAAAAAATGACAATGGTGAACGAATTTTCCACTATGGAGATTTTCTCTCAGCATCTCAAATTGCAAGTTTTTTTAGTAGACTTTCGTTAAAGAAAAGGCAGATGTCTAACACTGACTATGAAGAAAATGACTTGACAGCTGAAGGGAACATGAACAATTTGAATCAGATTTCTGATGTGGCTCTTAAAGCAGTGAACTAAAATACATTTTCTAACTAAAATAAAGATTTTAATATCAAAGTTTTTGGAAGGGGATATAGGAATCACCCTGTTTGCTTGTCCATCTGTCTGTGGACAACACTTGGATACGTTCAGCGAATCAGTGTTTAGGTCTGTTCCTGCTTATGGCAAGTGGTATACAAACCAACCTTGTATGGATGGTTTGTCTGTGGATGGTGTGTCCATTGAATGCTTCGGATGCTGCAAGTGACCTACATTTTATGCTTTAGTGACTTTGGTAAAGTACAGCTTTTATGTCTGTTCCCACATTATTACAAGTGGTATATAAACCAAACTTGCTTGCATGGTTTGTCTATGACTGCTGTGTAAAATGAATGCTGCTAATGCTGCATGTGATCTTCATTTTATGCTTGAGTAACTGATTAAATTCATCATATAGTACTGTTGATAGTGAGTGATGTTGCCCCATAAGGGGGGGGGGGGGGGGGGGCATTTGTCCTGTTAGTACTGCTCTAGCTCTAGTTGGTTGGATAAACATGATAAAGAAAGAAATGCTTATGAAAGAATTTGCTTAAACTTAGACTAACATAGATAATATCTGAAATCGAATGTGTCTTACTTCTTGTTTACTGTGCATAAATGTACATTGAAGAACATTTATAATTATTTCTAGCAAAATATCTCTGTAAAATATTTGACTGTACACTTCAGAAAACATTTAGTCTCAGAATCAGATACCAGATATGCTATAGTGGTGCCTAGTTGTGTCGCGTGCATAGCAAGGGGACACTTAGGGATCACTTCTCCATCGTCTGTCAGTCTGACCGTCTGTCCATCAGTCCATCTGTCTGTCACACTTTGAAATAAGTCATCCGCAGGAGACACACATATTCGATGGAACACTCTTGTTTTACGTTCATATCTGTGATACTTTTAGTGAGCATTGATATTTGAACCAGTTGATTGATCTTTGATAGTAAAACAAGATAAACTTTAATATGAAGTTGCTTTAAGCTACATTTTCACAAGGGAGCCTTGCTGATGTTTAGGTTTATGTTCATGTGAATAAGTATAAGGTCGTCTTGTGTTTCACCGACACTACCTCTCGTTGTTTTTAGGTTCATAACGAATAACAAACATGGTATAGCAATGAAAATTAGCCAGAAGATAGAGCTTTGGAGTCCCTTTGGGTTGTTGCGTCATTTTGACATATAATTTCGGTTTTCGTTATATCATATATGGTGAAGTTTTCGCGTATTTGGTCCACATTTTGACTATATTGTATGAGACATTGTACAGCAATGATACTTATTATTACTTATATAGGGTAAGTACAACAGGGTTGACAGTTGATTAGTATGCCATGACCCAAATATTCCACTTGAGAGGCTTTATTTTCCTGGGTATATGTTTCATGTTTTGCTGATCCCAGTCAAGTCGGTTGCTAGGGTATAAATTTCGTTGCTATGGAGATTTCTTTTCCTATTGTTTTGTAAAAAAAGTCATACATTTTGTGGAGATTATTGTACAGTACTATGTTTCTGTAAATTTGGTATCTAACTGTCAAATATCTGTTGTAATATTAAAAAAAATTGCCAAAACGTGCGAAAATCCATTGAAAGTGTTTTGAAAAAATTGCGAATTTTGATTTCTGAAAAAAAAATTGGGACATCCAACTACCAATTTTTTTCATATTACTTCATAGTATTGGGATATATCTTTAACTTGATATGACACACAATATCTCGGGTTGTTGCGTTTTTAAGTATTCAACTTTTGAAAAACTTAATTTTCCACAGATATTCACATCATGAAAACCTTGTCATTTTTCGGTTACCATAGCAACTATATCAGAATTTCAAAAAATACTTACAGACATACAGATATTTTCTCCTTATGCATCTTTCATTATTTCAGTATCAAAAAACAAATTTAGACCTTCCAATTGTTCCCCCTCTGCACTTGAATATGTCTAAATTTGTATTATTTTACAATGTTTCATTGAGAATTTACTATGCAAATCACATTTGTTGCCATGGAAACCAATGATAATGAATAAATTTGTTAAATTTGTCTAAAATGTGTTTTTTGTTGTTGTTCAAATGTTTTAGGGTGGTTTTTGCCCAATTCAAAATTTTTGACTTTCCATGTAAAGCTCAATGGTTACTGACACGGCCTCTTAACTCTCTGTTAAAAACTGTTCTACACGCGCATTTCCCTTACCTATGGTGAAATATTTCTGATGTCATAATTAAAATGACGTCAATTCATAAATGTTAATTTGCTAAAATTATTTACTTTTAAAAATGTTAATCTTATATTGGTAAAATATATTAAATGTATTATTAAAGATAGTTACTTCAAATATGAATTCTTACGTTGAAAGATAGTGCATTTTTACATGCAATATAAACAATTAATGCAATTACAAAGTATGTATTCAGTATTAAGTTCTAACACGAGGCATTGATTTTTGGGAGGAGAAATTGAAAATTATTTTTAAAAACTCTCAAAAAGTGGGAGATGACCCCCCCCCCCCTCCCCGTTTTACGTGCTTTAAGTTTGAATTGAACGATTAGCCTACTTTTTGGTTACTTGTCTGAGGTTAAAATATTTTTTAAAATGATGATCATTTTGATAAAATATAATGACAATTATTGTATGCATAATCGGATAAAAAAGTACCTACATATCCACTCATATGGAATATTTTCGTCGATCTTGTTTTTCTTTGCAGATAATATCGCAACATATATCCGCAATATATACATGTATAATACAATCTTGCCTAAATTGAAATGGGGATTAAATTTGCATGTTGCTCAAATGGGATATTTCTATCATCTCTGTATAAGTTTTTCCTTCCACGCAAACAAGTTTTGAAATGATAACAAGTCCGCGATTTTGATTTTAATGCTTAATTAAATATTTAATGTACCTAGGTAACCTGAGTTAAATATGTTAGTTAAATCAGAAAATTAATTAGGCTTTAACTGTTAGTTAACTTTTGTGCAACCGGTTAAACTCGCTGTTAAATTTAATGTCGCGTTAACGTAAAGTTAACGGCCAGTTAAAGGATGAGTGCACTTAAGCTATGAGAGCTGGGTCCCGGTGTTTTGCGCAAAATAAAATTCCAAAGTTCATAAACTTTATGTTTTATAGGTATTAAACAATGTCTTAAGAGCAGGTTTTGGTATATTATATTACAAGAAAGTATTAAATAATGCCGAGCGACACTAGCTTTTGAGACGGGGATCTAACAGTTTTGTCACATTTCTATTGTTATTCATATGCATACCAGATTTCAACGACATTGTTTACATCGAGCCGCAACTTGTCCATTGGTCTCATTTGCACAGAATGTGTATTTTGATTTAAACTTCAACATATCCAAAGGACATTGTTGGACAAATTGCGGCTCATATCTTATTTTTTGAAAAAGTCTCCAAACTACGGTCGAATTAGCCACTAAATTAACAGTTCACCGAGTGTCAACGATTGATATTATAATCACTTTACTCACGTGACATTCCACTGTTCGATACGCTAAGGCTTTCATTGAGCATTTCATTGTGTTTGTTATTGAAAGTTTCGATTGTGACAGTATCTATCGTACTTCCAACTATGGAAGATTTTTGCGCAAATTTTAATAGGGTTTGAACATGTTGAAGATTATATGTCTCTTATTTTACTTTGTATTTTTCATTACGGGTGTTTTGAAAGAATTCTGGTATTGACAGTGTGATTAGTAAGTACATGTACAGGCTCATGTCGCCTCTGTATAATGGTCTGCAGGGCGAGACATCTTCCCCATCCCTAAACACTAGAATCATTTATTATTTGTGCACCATAAAACTACACAATTAATCTCTCTCTTCTCCATTTAAATTCGCAGTGCGAAAAAAAAAAAATCATATATGTGCTAATGTTTACATTCCACATCCATGCGATTTAAATGTCTCCGCCTATTTGCGGATACCTTAAATTCGTAAGTGGTCCCGTTCAAATTTCCGGAATTTAAGGTTTGTATATGTTCTTTTCAATGACATTGTCTGTAATTATAGAAATATGTATGACAAAAAATTCAAGGAATAAATATCAAAAGAATATGCTTGCGCAATAATCATAGATTAATTAAGCGATATATTGTAATGTAAAGCTTAAAATGGGTAGCCGAAAAGGTTCCAAATGACGTACTAAAGTGCACTCATTCTTTAACTAACGTTCGTGCAACCGGATCCTGATCATTTGTATACCTGTATACATCCCCCAGACTGTCCAAATCATCGGACCTAGAACACGTTACAGTTACATATTTTTTCTTATTGAAAAAAATAAATGCCCCCTCCCTTCCCCTACCGTGCTTTATTAGGCAGAAAGTTATATATCTGGTGATAAGAAAAGTATATAACGTCAGGGCCTGGGTTCCCTGCGGGGTTATTTACAATCCGGAACAATATGGTCTGGTCTTGTCTGTTATAAATGTTAGAGCGGGACTAGATCAGTAAAGCGTTTGGAGAAATGGCAAAAAACAAGTAAAACACAATAACCAAACTGACCACGAGACCACCGACAGTACCACTGTGACTGTCGCCGTGTCGGTGATTGAAAAGACGCAGTTAGTGAGGAATTTCATCAGTTACTGCGGTCTGCTCCTAATTTTTTTCGTTGAAAGTGATAAATTCTACAGGTTCCTGGATATGGTAGCCCATTTTGCAGCAGTTGCGTTCACAGGGTTCATGATTTATGTTGCATGGCCTGGGAGTAGTAAGTCAATCTTTCTATAACAACAGATCTGGTACAATCACTAGATTTAGCTGCGTAGCTTGAATTACCTACATAGCTTTATTTACCTACTTGAGGTAGCTTTATTTACCTACTAAATCATACTTATTTCTCAAAAAAGCATTTTTTCAGGATGTCCAAAAAATCGCACTTTGATGCAGTGATAATTTCCAACTTGAAACTGTTCTGAAAAAAAAAAATGCATTAAAAAATCACTCTTGAAGATGTGTCTCTTTCAGCGCAATTGCAATCAAAATTCTAAAAGTTTTGAGGCTGTATACAACAGTTAATTTGTGACCAAACAGTTAGTTCTTGAATGAAATAATAAAGAAAACCAGTTCTGGTTAACATGATAATTGATTGGTAATAATTCAGCATAATGTGAAGTAATCATACTTATCCATGCACACAAATACTTGATATCGCGATTACTTAACTTAATGGAACTCTTTCGTGGTGAAGGTAGGAAACGTCTGTTATCTGGGAGTAATGTGCTTTTGCATACAACATGAGATCGAGCATTGTGGATTTTTAAAGGGCAGATATGAGAGAAGTCCTGGTGAAATATCTTGCAGAACATTCGCTTAACCACGCTTATAAATTTTAAGAGAACCTAGTCCTCATGTGTAACATTTTTATTGATACTTTTTCACCATGTTCACAATAAGCTGACTCTTCTAATTAAATTCAGTCATTTCTTTCTGATAATCGTACTTTTGGAAGCTGATAAAAAAAAACCCTCTAAATATTCCAAATTAGATAACGTACTATTTGAGGTTCAACCGTTTGCAATACATTGTACTTTCTGTATACTAATTTTTCGAATCATTTGATTGTCACTAGCGTAAGTAATTCATGCCCTGGAAATCTCATGAGATTTAGAGTTTCCTCGACTTTCGCCGGAAAAGAGCGGTATTAAGTTAGATAACTGTGAGGTAATCACGATACTAAGTATTGGTGTACAGTTACTCATACAATGGAAATACACCTATTGCTTAAAATACAATTAATTCTTACCGCATTCCTCAAACATTTCAGGGATAAACCTTTTTTCACATTTTGTTAAGCATAAGTCATACATGGTTTAGTCTACTTCACTAGCTTGATGCAATACCAGGAATTTTTGACTACTCTGATTCAAAATTTAGCAGACCTCCAGCATTGGACTATAATAATGATAATGATGAATGCTTCATTCAGTTTGAAATACACTTATAAATGACATGTGATACAGTTATTCTAAGGATTCAGACTCTTATGTAAATGAAACGATACAGTAAGTTTATTACAGGCGGTAGTTGGGTAATACCCTCATTCTGTCATTTAGGAAATATCCTAAGGCTTTAATTTTGTAATGATAATTTAACTTTCTTCTTTATAAATGTAACATTTCCTATCTAATTTTATCAAGTTAACATATATTCTGGTCCCTTTAACTTCACCCTTAGATGTATATCCTTCTGCAAGGCTCTTTCTGACTGGTCAGTTTTCTGGTTGCTATGATAATGATCAGATGAGACTGGTCAGTTTTCTGGTTGCTATGATAACGATCAGATGAGACCTCAGTTCAAAACTGATTAACATGGGACAATTTGAATTTTAACAGATATCACATACTATAAATGTGGAAATTTACCGGTACCTGTGGAGAAATTTACGCAAATACATGAAAAGAAAGCTTTGATGTAAATATCCCCCTGCATATCAATGCCTTTAAAAATATTCAGTGTGCACCAAAAACTTTTTTCAGCACAAGCCCACTCAGGCTACTAATGGCAAAGCTTTACTAGTCTAAATCATTTTTTAGTAGCCCCCCCCCCCCCCCCCCCCCACACACACACACACACACACACAAGAAGTGTGAAAAATAAAATGAAAATTTTACTTCAGTCCTTAGATGTAATTTACATTTTAATTCATGCTGTTTCTTAACTTGGAATAGTGACAGTCTTTCTCAACATTTTTTTCTGAAACCCTTCCCCCACTCACATTCTTTAGCCATTTATCATAGTAACCAGGAACAATGAACTATAATACCAAACAAAGCATGGACAGAAAGACAACAACTGGGAATTGAAAATTATTGAGAAAGTCATAAATACTTCATCAATGTAATTTTTTTAAAACAAAAATCTGACATTTTTTAACAATACTGATAAAAATATTTAGCATGTTTAGATATATATCTCTGAAAACTCCAATCGTCCAATCAGGTTAGTGTTGACCTACATTCTACTAGCCCAACTGAATTTTTACTAGTGTTTTGGCATTGGGCTAGTGCTTTTGGTGCACACTGCATATTTATTTAATGTTATCAATACATAATCCCAGTATCATGAAAATAATCCCCACAAAATAATCCCCACACATAATGTTCTTGCTTCCTATTCATGTAATTAACAACATGCATAAATATCCTTTACAGTACATCGACATAATAATAATCAACTTTTTCAGGTCTTTTTTCATGGCATCCAACTTTGATGGCTGTAGCTGTGAGTATTTATAGAAATTTTCTTTTGATAAAATTTATTGCGGTAAATAATAATTATTAATATACTAAGAGGATAAAATTATCCTTATTCCTTACTCGTGATATTAATACCTGCATTTTCTGAAGGAAAAAACCCCTTTTTTTGAGTGGTTGAAAACCTGTCAGGCTGTCACACTTTCTTGTCAATAGCCAATGGGCATTCTCCAACATTTTAAGTGGAAGAGAAAAATCAATTACTTTTGCATATGATCAGCGTGTGCTCCATGCAGTAAGGTTTTAAATTTCAATACCAGACCAAGGGCCTGAAAGAGAGGGATTTGAATAAAAGCTGTCATGTTATGTCTCCATTTTAGCTCACTTCAACAACTCAACAAAGTTGGGGGGGGGGGGGGGGCTTATGTAATACCCTCGGCATCGGTGGCAGCATCGCAGGTTTAATTTTATTGGACCAGATTTGTTTTTAAGTACTTCTATGGCCTATATTAATCAGAGATGCATGGAGGATGCTTCTAGTGTGTTTCATTGTACCAGTCAGGGTTGCAGATGCTGCAATTTCAGCTAAAGAATGACCAGGTTAATGTTTTTGGAGCAGGTTAAAGTTTTTGGAGCAGGTCTCATTTCCAAGTAACTATAAGCCCTATATTGACCAAACTTGCATGGATGATTCTTCAAGGATTGCTTCAGATGCTGGATCTGAATACATTTTCCGTATGAGTGACCAGGTAAATCTTTTAATTTGGAGCAGGTTCATTCTAAATTGACTATAAGCCTTATGCTAACAAACTTTGATAATACATTTATTGATGCTTTGGATGCAGGATTTGACCTACATTTTCCAGATGAGTGACAAGGTTAAAGTTTTTTGAGCAGATCCATTATCAAGAAACTATAAAATTGCATGGATGATGCATCAAGGGTTGCACACTACCAGAGTTGCTTCAGATGCTGGATTTCACCTACATTTTTCAGATGAATGACCATGTTAAAGTTTTTGGAGCAGACTCATTCCAGTGTAACTTCAAGCCCTAAATAGACCAAACTTGCATGGATGATGCATCAAGGAATGAACACTCTCAAACTTGCTTCAGATGCTTGATTTGACCTACATTTTCTGGTTAAGTGAGCAGTTAAAAGTCTTTAGAATGAGGCCATTCCCAAGTAACTGCAAGCCCTATCAAACCAAAATTGCATAAATGTTGCATCTAGGGATGCACACTACTAGATTATTAGTTAAGTGTGAAATGTATGGAGATAACAAACAGTATTCAAGCTCAAAAGTCCATTAAACAATACAAATTTTGGAGCAGAACAAACACGGACCTCTAAAACATCAGAGGTGGGATCAGGTGTCATGGAGGACTCAGGAGGAGTGAGCATCCCCTGCCGACCGGTCACACCTGCCGTGTGCTCCTTGTCCTGATTGGGAAATAATGGAAAAATCTGTCAACAATTCAGTGTGGGACTTTGCCTTACTTAAAGATAACATTTGTTGAGGTGAGCTCTGTATAACTAATCTTCGATTACCTATGTTTTAAATCTTTGCATTTAACTGTCCATTTTGTGAATATGTGCCATATAAAGTTTTTGAAGTATTGTCCTCGGCCTTAAAGGTGCCAGGGGGTCTTAAAAGGGATATGATTTCTTCTACAAAGACTTCAATGAAGATTCTCCATTCAATTAGATATTTTTATGCCCCCGTAATCGAAGATTTGGGGGCATATAGTTTTTGCCCTGTCTGTCTGTCTAGCTGTCTGTCTCTCTGTCTGCAAAAACTTTAACCTTGCCAATAACGTTTGATTGGTTGAAGCTATGGCTTTCATATTTCACATTTGTATTCCTTGTGACAAGACATTTCTTTGGGTAACAACATATTTGACCTCTTGATCTTGACCTTGGAGTTCGACCCACTTTTGCAAAGTTTCACCAGACTTTAACCTTGGCCATAACTTTTGAACAGTTGGTGCTTGGGCTTTCATACTTCACATGTGTATTTTCTTGTGAGAAAACCTTTCCTTGGGTATAAATATTTTTGTCCTTTTAACCTTGACCTTGGAGTTTGACCCAGTTTTAAAAATCTTTAACCTTGGCCATAACTTTTGAACAATTAGTATTAGGGCTTTCGTATTTCACAGGTGTATTCCTTGTGACAAGACCTTTTTTCAGGTACCAACAATTTTGTCCCTTTTACCTTGACCTTGGAGTTTGTCCTATTTTTGAAAAACATTAACCTTGGCCATAAGTTTTGAACAGTTGGGATTTCATTTCTCACATGTGTATTTCTTATGACAAGACCTTATTGGGTACTGACATTTTTGACCTTCTTTTCCTTGACCTTGGAGTTTGACCTACTTTTGAAAAACTTTGCCCTTGTCCATAACTTTTGAGTGGTTGGTGCTAGGGCTTTCATATTTCACATGTGTATTTCATGTGACAAGACCTTCCCTTGGGCACCATTAATTTTGACCATTTGACCTACTTTTGAAAAACTTTAACCTTCGCATAACTTTTCAATGGTTGGTGCTAGGGCTTTCATATTTCTTAGGTATATTTCTTGAGAAAAGACCTTCTTTGGATACCAACATTTTTGACCTTTTGACCTTGGAGTTTGACTTGCATTTGAAAAACTTTAACCTTTGTCATAAGCTGCCATATGGGGGCATCAGTGTTTCACAAATACATCTTAGTTTGAAGAATACAGATGTGTGATGGGGATTCAAATATACTATACTTTCTGAATGAGTATGTCCTATGTTTCTATCTAGATGTAATCCAGTGTATTGTGGAATTTCTATTTTGACTTCACTTCTGTGGATAATGCCACTGAGGGTGTTTACTGTCAATCATGATTCAGATGCTGCATGTAACATAAATGTATTGCATTAGTTATCAGTTTGAGTTACTATATGTTTTTGAAGCACGCCTGTCCCAAGTTAAATCTTTACAATCATACCATATTAGCAGATACATTGGCATGTGACCATTCTTATCCAGATACATATCAGGTACAAAGTTTAAGAGGAGCTAGCTAGGTCATTTATGCAAATGACTATAGGTCATACATTAATAGTGCTGTGCGATATTACCGGTTAATAGGTGAATCCCGATTTCATTGTTCATTTAATATTGTGATATTTTGCAGTAAAAATTGCAGTACAAAATTTGATATTGCAATATATCGCAATAGGATTTTTCAGTCATGATACCCAGCACTATTAAACATTAACCACTTTGCATTGATGATGCCACTGAAAGTGTATGTATAATATTGGTTCTATATATACTGCAGTTTCAGGAGTTTGATTGACTATATGTACCTTGTGTCTGTTTCTAGATGGGGTTGCTGATGTTTGAAGCAATAACTGTCTTCTCCCCCAGTAGTTCTCTTATCATATCCTGGCAACGCCCAACTAAAGCCAATATCCATGGCTACATGATGGCTGCTTCATTGTTTGCTGCCATTGCTGGATTTCTTGTCATATACTACAATAAACAGTTAAACAACAAAGAGCATTTCACCACCTGGCATGGCACCATGGGATTTATAACACTGCTTTGGGCATGTGTGCAGACTTTAGGAGGACTATTGTTGAAGTATAACTGGTTAATAAAATCCTGGAAAATTCGACTGGTGGACATGAAACTTTATCACGCCACTTCTGGCCTATGTGCTTTTACTTTAGTTTCGGTGACCTTAGTGCTGGCTTTGTTTTCTGACTGGTTTTCTAGTGTTGCTACAGGAACATCGTGGTGGGGTGTTTTTGCATTACTTGGTTGTTTATCACTAACAGTGATGCAGCAAGTTACCACAGCCTACTTACCTCAGACCCGCAGCAAGCCAAAGCCAATAACAACCAAGCAAGGGAAACGTAAAGAAAAGAAGGAAAAATAGGGAAGGTGGATGCTCTGTTTATGTAACATGCTCAAATATGGAACGCCATAGCTGTCTTAAAGTATGATACATCATATTACATGGTGTGTTCTAGGGCTGTGTATTGAGCAAAATATTTCGATACGATACGATACGATATTTTATAAAGCGATATGCGATATATTGTATTATTAATTATTAAGTCTTTCAAAAATGTCTTGTAAATGACATTTAATGCATAAATTTGAAAAAAATTTGGTTAATTTAACATAACATGTTAAAATATAGTTGTCTATGTGTTTTGTAATAGTTATTTAAGATGTGCTATCTCCTTAATGTTTATTTCATTATTGACCAGTTTTAATTCAAAACAGTTAAAACTAATCTTTGGTAACTGAAATTCCCAACTTTTTTACAGAATTATAAGGAAAACTGCCTGTCTGATACGTATTGGAAGTTATTTTTTCGATACGATACATTCCTGAATATCGATACGTATTGAATATTTGAAATATTCACACAGCCCTAGTGTGTTCTATATAGTAAAGGGTTGATTCAATATATTAAATGGTCACCACTCCTTGTTAAAGGGTAAAGAGCACATAATACATGGTGCGTTCAATATAATAAATGGTCGGTTCATTATGTTAAATGGTCACCACTACTTGTTATAGGGTGAAACGTACATAATAAATGGTGTGTTCAATATATTAAAGGGTCAGTTTATTATGTTAAATGGTTACTGCTACTCGTTATAGGGTGAAACGTACATAATACATAGTGCATTCAATATAATAAAGAGTCGGTTCATTGTGTTAAATGGTCACCACTACTTATTATAGGGTGAAACGTACATAATACATGGTGCGTTCAATATAATAAAGGGTCGGTTCATTGTGTTAAATGGTCACCACTTTCTTTGAAAGGTTTAAAATGCCACACTCTTCTTTTGATATTCTTATTTTAATTTTGTTTGTGTGTGTGTGTGTGGGGGGGGGGGGGGGGGTACCCAAACTTAAAGAATAAGGGGGGATACGCAAACTTGAAAAATCTAGTTTAATAAGGTTAGGTACGGTCTAGGTCAGATTATTTATTTTCTCCCAAGTGGGAGACAGATTATTTATTTTCAACATTTTCATGGACAGATTATTTATTTCCAAAATCTTCCAGGCCTCCCCTACCTCAGAATCAGTCGAGTTGATCTGACACAATAAAATAAAATATCAATTAAGTATCCATGTAGGCCTGTGGTTCGAGGGGAAAGGGTGCACCGATTTGATTTAATATGAAAATTTTCATTCAAAGGCTGCTTGCCCCCCCCCCCCCCCCCAGTTGCCCGCGTGGCGCAGTGGTTAGAGTGTCTGCTCTAGAGTCGCGAAGTAAGGAGTTGATCCTTACGTCGCGGGTTCAAATCCCACTGCGGGACGTGGAGACCGGTCCTTCAGTTGAGACTGTATAAACCGAGGTCCCGTGTTGCAGTAGGTGCTGGCATGAAAAAGATCCCTCACTGCTCAATGGCCGTAAGTGCCGAGTATAGGTTAGAATTTGTAGCCCTCCACCGGCAAGTGGTGGTGTCTCCATATGAGTGAAAAATTCTTGAGAGGGATGTTAAACAACAACCAACCAACCAACAACCAACCCCCCAACCCCCCATATTTTTGTAGAGCATGGTTGAAATGTGTCCCACTTTAATGCATTGATTTAAGAAAATGTCGAAAAGTTGTAGATACTACACCCCACCAATAGGTTTTCAACTTAGAGCCTATAATTTTTTAATGCTTGTCAATTTTTTTATCCCCCCTTTAAAAATGTTGCTATGGGAATATGTGGCAAATTAAAAGCATTGTATACTGTATAGACACGACCCCTCCTCCAATTTCCACACATAATGCAAATGACAAAAAGGGGGAGGATAATTTTTATACGAAAGGTTGGAGAGGTGTGGTCTTTCTATAAACAATTTTTTTAACATAGAAAAATGATATTTTTACAGAGATGGAAAAATTATGTAATAAGTGACTGTGATGTTCCTTAGAAGACTACACATTACGTACGGCAAAAAGAAGATGACACTAAACCCTCCCCTTCCATCAGCCGTTCTTTTTTTCAATTGTACTTGATAACGATATACATTTAAAGATACATGAAATTTTTTGTACTATAGGCAAGTACTAAAAAAGAGTACTGATTCACATCACATTTCTTATAGAATTAAACGAAAACACAGAAGAATACTATGGAAAGTAAGGGAGGGGACGTCCATTTGATTTTGTGATGTTGGGGCTGGGAGATTCTAGATATAAATTATACTAGTATTCCCCCACTGCGAAGAAAATAAACAAATGGACCTTGTTGGGTGGTACCACCCTGAAAATATAGAGTTTGGGTACCTCCCCGCAATGAAATATTTTTTGGTTTGTCAATCTTAATGAACATGAAGAGGAAAATTAAATCTGACCCAGATCACCTTTGAAATAAATTATCCGTCCTATTTTTACAGACATAAAAATAAATAATCTGACACTGAAAAATTTGCCAACTTCCCCCTTTCAGAATGAAATGGCCGACTCCTTAAATGTTTTGGGAAATATAGTTTTACGGTACGTTTCATTGATAGTTCGCACAAGACCTCAATGTATATTCAACATTTACATAAGAGGTCGCAATGCCCCCTTTCGTCCTAATTTGCTTAGAAAATTTCACCCGGATTACTCATTCTAACTTTCTTATTTTAACATTTTTACTATTACTTACTCTTACTTTCTAACTCCGCCTTTACACATTTTTTTACTGAAATAAAGGAAGATGTACATACTGAAATAAAATTTTGAAAGTTTCTTAAAGAATCAAGTGTCTTTGGAATATAATCTTTCAATTTCAGCTTCATAAAGTAAAAAAAGAAGCTGTATGGTTTTTCCGGTGACCAAGTAAATATTCAAATTTAGAAAGTCTGTAAAAAGGTCAAAATGAAATGAAAAAATTGAATTGGAAAAACAAGATGTTAGAACTAATATAATAAATAAATGAAATATTAAAATAAAATTGGAAAATCAATAAATTATAGTAAGAATACTAAAAGAGAAATGTGCCACAGAAATCTCTCCATAAACACCAGTTAATTGAATCATCATAGCTAACTTTTAATGTGTGTTTTTTGAAACCATGTGAAATTAGCTGCACACTGATTGTATGTACTTAACGCATTTTTTTAAACGTGTTGATTTCTATTTATTATGTGCCTTTCACCCTATAACAAGTAGCGGTGACCTTTTAATACAGTAAACCGACCCTTTATTATATTGAACACATCATGTATGTACCTTTCACTCTATAACAAGGAGTGGTGACCATTTAAGATACTAAACCGACCCTTTATTATATAGAACACACTATTTCTTATACAACCATAATCGTATAACAAGGGGTGGTGATCATTTAACATAATGAACCAACCCTTTATTATATTGAACGCACCATTTATTATGTACGTTTCACCCTATAATAAGTAGTGGTGACCATTTAACATAATGAACCGACTCTTTATTATATTGAACGCACCATGTATTATATACATTTCACCCTATAACAAGTGGCGGTGACCATTTTACATGGTTAAATCAGATCCTTTATTATATTGAACACACCATTTATACACCTTTCACCCTATAACAAGGAGTGATGACCATTTAACATACTAAACTGACCCTTTATTACATTGAACACACCATGTATAATGTATTTTTCACAGTATAACAAGTGGTGGTGACCATTTAACATAATGAACCGACCATTTATTATATTGAACGCACCATGTATTATGTGCTCTTTACCCTTTAACAAGAAGTGGTGACCATTTAATATACCATGTTATATTATGTACCACACCTTAAGACAGCTATGACGTTCCATACTCAAACAATCAGTTTTGCTCATAGTATGTGTACAAAGTATTGGCAGGACAATTAATATATATTGACCAAAAATTTTTATTCATGTTCAAACAAGCATTTCATTTTGAATTTATGGGGGCCCATTTATCAGTAATTTATTATAAGTGATCAAAATTATTATTTATTATTTTATCATTATTCATTATATTGATTGGCATTTCTTGAGTAAAGATCCATGGTCCTTTTAGTGTCTTAATTTTTTATTTTGCACAGAGTAAATTTAAACATATCTAGTTTTCTAATTATGTCTAATTAATGCATAACTGTTTTTCTACTTCTGTAGGTAAAAATGGGATCAAATGTCATCATCGTGTTAGAAATTCTTTTGAAGTCTCTGTATGTAAATGGTTCTTAAAAATATTAAATGTATGTTTGCTGGTTTATTGAATTGTGTGTGATGTGTTTTTAGGTCACCTTAGTCACTCAGGTGACCTATTGCTATCTGTTTTTGTCCGTTGTTATCTGTTGGTTGTAAACTTTTGAAAATTTTCAGCTTCTTCTCTTGAACCACTGAACCACTGACATAGAGCATCAGTTGATGAAGGGGTACAAAAATTGTGAATTTCATGGTCCATCCCCCCCCCCCCCTTTCGGGGCCTGAGGAGTTGGCTAAAACCATCAAATTTTGTGATATATTTAAAAATCATATTCTTTACTCCTGAACATCAATCAGTCAAACTGTTGGCATGATTATGACAAGCATAAGTCCTCTAACAAAGTTTTGAAATTCATGGCCCCAGGGTCAGGGGTTCTGAAGTTAGGGCAGAGCTCTAATGATCTTATAGTGAAATTGAATAAATTCTTTAAAAATCTTCTCTCCCCATGTATCTTTAGAAGATATACTATGTGCATAGTTATGATGAGCAAGGGTACCTTTTCCAAAATTGTGAAATTCATGGTCCCAGGGTCAGGGGTTATGGAGTTAGGGTGGGGCTCTAGTGATCATTTAGTGAAAATGCACAAATTCTTTACACTTGTTTTCTCTCCTCTTCTATATTTAACAGATAAACTACGTGCCTGGAAATGATAAACAAGGGTGCCTCTTTCAAAATTGTGAAATTTGTGGCCCCAGGAATAGGGGTTCCGGTGTTAGGGCTGGGCTCTAATGATAATATAATGAAAATTCATAAATAATTTTAAAATTGTCTCCCCCCCCCCCCCCCCAGTATATTTAGAAGATTAACTAGATGTCTGATGATGTTGAGCAAGGGTGCCTTTTCCAAAAGTGTGAAGGGTCAGTGGTTCTGGAGTTAGGGTGGGACTCTAATGATCATATGGTGAAAATGTATAAATTCTTTGAAAATCTTCTTCTCTGCTCCAAGGTATTAAGCAAACAACCAAACTAAGTGCATAGTTATGATTAGCAAATGTGCCTCTTCAAAAATTGAGAGAGCAAGAGAGACCAATGTGAGAGGGAAAGCAATTGGTATTCTGATAGTGCTGAAGCACTTTTGTTTTGTTTAGTCAGAACTGGTGAAAGTGACAAATGGGGGCTGGTACAGACAACTAAGTAGATCTGCTTTAACATTTGTTACTGAGTAATAGACTTATTATTTTGTTGATCCCCGATCATCTTATTTCTTTTGCTTTTGGGCAACATAGCTTCAATCATCTATCAGTTTATATTTGTTTTATTTTACATGGCAGTAGGAACTGGGGGGGGGGGAGGGGGGGGGCACGGGGGGGCCATGCCCCCCCAATAATTTTCCCGATATATAGATTACTATAGTAAACATAGATACTATATGCTTGTGCCCCCTCATTAAAAACGCCTGATGACCTTTTTTTTTTTTTTTTTTTTGCTTGTCAAAAAATTTTCGGTAGTGCCCCCTCAACTGTCAACTGAAAAATGTTTGGCTGTGCCCCCCCAAACTGAAATTGCTTCCTACGGGCCTGTTTTATACTTCCTTGGATCCTTTAAAATGTTGTTTAATACTCAGGTGACAGTTAAGGCCCTTAGGCCTCTTTTTTGTCTGTACTGTAATGTTAAAATTTACATGTGTTGTTGAATACATATTTATATGTGGCATTCATGATTGATAATAATACATATTCATGTGCATTTTAAGAAATCCCAAGAATACTAAATATCAAATTTTACACTATTCATGTATATATGTACTTTATCACAAATTTTATACTATTCATGTATACATGTACTTAAGTGCAAGTAAAGTATACAAGTATGATTGCTTTATTTTTATGTACAAATAGGTATTCTGTACTAATGAAACTTTTAAGTGAGAAATTATCTTTTTTTTTTACAGTGCTACCAGAACCAATGATTCTGTTATATGTAAACTTGTCATATTTTTGACTGCTTTCAAAATGAACAGATAATAATCAGTGAAATCAGTAAGCATCCCCATGTATTGTATACTGTAAGCATTTTTAATTTGAGGAGTTTAGTATTTCATAATCTCCTATGTTGGTACAGTTCATGGTGCTTTTTATTTTCATGGTCACTGAATTTGTTTAATATTTGCAATTTTCAGTAATATTCTTTAAAAAACAAAGAAAGTTATAAGAAAGTTATAAAAACATCTCCAGTAACTTACTTTAACTCCCCATTGTGTTAACCTCTGGTTTCCAAATAATTTTTGATGATTTACTTTCTAATTACTAATTACTATGGAACAGGAGAACAGGATTTTATAGATATTTGATATAGAAATGCAATATTGATAAGTCGATGTTGTACAGTGTGAAACACACTTATAGTGAAGTGGCAATGATGAGCAGTTTTGTTATAAACATAATTAATTATATCACACAATACATTAAAAACATGAGGATTGAAAAAATTGCTGTTAGCATGAATTCATCATAAGCATGTTTGCTATAATTGTTTTACTGTATTAGAAATCATTGTAAAATCATCTTCTCAAGTGAACAGTATGGCTGCACATATATTAAATAAATATGCAAGCACTGCATAGTCATTAGGACTAGGGTTGGGTTTTTTCACCAGAAAATTAAGGCTGTAATTATAGTCCCATTTATCTGCAGTTTACAATGGTATGTGTTATTTTGCAGATGTTTTTTTAAACTTTATTTTGTTTACCCTAGAGTCACCGAAGAGGTGTGTTGGACCGTAGGATCCAAAGTTTTAAATAGTGTGTCCATGGGAACCCAGACTCCTTCATTAATCAAATTAAAACATATTAGATTGTTCTGAATATATATTGTCTAATATTCATTGTCAATTGATAGCAGTGTGACTCGGGCGAGCATTGTGTACAAATCCTGGTATACAAAATGAAGTGTTACATAATCAAAACAATACAGATTATACATTATAGGTCCTGCAAGTAAAAACGTGATAAGAGTCTCTTGTATACTTCTGACATGTTTTCTAAGTAAACACATGATGAAGCCACTTATACACCATAGGTCTTCAAAGTTAACACATACTGGAGCCACTTACAAGCTGTGGGTCCTCATAGTTAACACATACTGGAGCCACTTATACACTGTAGGTCCTCAAAGTTAACACATACTGGAGCCACGTATACTATACACTGTGGGTCCTCATAGTTAACACATACTGGAGCCACTTATACACTGTAGGTCCTCAAAATTAACACATACTGGAGCCACTTATACACTGGGGGTCCTCATAGTTAACACATACTGGAGCCACTTATACACTGTAGGTCCTCAAAGTTAACACATACTTGAGCCACTTATACACTGGGGGTCCTCAAACTTAACACATACTGGAGCCACTTATACACTGCAGGTCCTCAAACTTAACACTTACTGGAGCCACTTACACACTGTAGGTCCTCATAGTTAACACATACTGGAGCCACTTATACACTGTGGGTCCTCAAAGTAACACATACTTGAGCCACTTATACACTGTAGGTCCTCATAGTTAACACATACTGGAGCCACGTATACACTGTAGGTCCTCAACACATACTGGAGCCACTCATACACTGTGGGTCCTCAAAGTTAATACATACTGGAGCCACTTACACACTGTGGGTCCTCAAATTAAACACATGCTGGAGCTACATACACTGTAGGTCCTCAAACTGAACACATGATGGACCCATTTATTCAGTGTAGGTCCTCGAAGTAAATTCATGATGAAGCCACTTGTAACTTGTAATCACATGATGAAACCACTTACACTGTAAGTACACAGGTTGAGGTCTTGTTCTTGTACACTGTATAGTTCTCCAAATAAATACCAGATGAGGTCTGGTACTTGTCCACTTAAGGTCCTTTAAGTTAACTTTTTATGAAACCACTTGCACACTGGGGGTCCTCCAAATTTTTACATGATTAAAAATGGAGTATGTACATGTACTTTTACAATGTTTGAACCACTTATACACTGTATGTCCTCAAAATTAACAAATGATGGAGTAACTAATAGACTGTAAGGTCTTCCAAGTAAACAGAGAATAAAGCTACATGTAATTGTACATGCAGTTGGGGTCCTCCAGGTACATGCATATGATTAAGTCACCTTTGTAAATGTAGGAGATCCAGTACATATCATATGAAGTTACATGGACACGTAGGGTCTCCAAAGAAATTCATGCATCATAGAATTTCTTGGATATAGGAGGTGCTGCAAGCCAACAAATGATTCTCTTGCTTTAGTACACTAATGTTTAAAAACATCAGTTAGGTTGAAGGGAACAAATTATAATGTAACATTACATTGTATACATTGAAAGTAATCCATGAAGTTATATGAGTATTGAAGGTCATAAACAAGTAAATACTGCATTGTAGTTCGTACACAATACACATTGATTCTTGATTATAATGGCATGTATACATCAATTTTACATTCATTATACAAACAAGCATACTGTTGATAAATAGGCAAATAATCACGATGGTTTTAATTTCAGTATGTTCGCGATTCATCATTATCCCGCGAAATTAAACCCATTGTGAATGCTATTGTCATGTTCTAAATTTTGAATTTACTGGGTGGGAGTAAATACAAAATTTAGAAATTTTGTATTTACTCCCACCCGGTAAATTCAAAATTAAGAACATGACACTATCATAAGTTTTTAAAAACGTTTAAATGCTTGCACGAAAATTAAGTTTATTTCTTGCAGCGTGAAATTTAAACCATCGCGATTGGCTCATTTTGAGAAATCGTGAAATGTTTACACCGTGGAATTAAAACGACTTACAGTATGTAAAAACCGTGTGTCTTTTTATTCAACACACAAAATTTTCTTTCCAAAACTCTTCTTGAAAAAGAATTCATGCTTCATCAAATTGGTAATGAATTGAAATACTAGCATAAGAGGTCAATGGGCCAAATACTTTAAAGTACTTACCAGAGCATAAGCTCAGTTTGCTCAATTTGATATGTCTATGTAAGTTATAGAATAAGTATATTGTGGCTTCTTCACTAATTACCCAGATACAATATACAAAGGAGAGTACATTCAGAGTCAGATATTTACGTGTGAGTATTACTTTCTTATGACAGCAATAAGTATAAATGTGATTTTTTTTTTTTTACTTTTTATAAAAAGTTATACGGGTTGCATTTTAGTATACATGTAATAAAGGACATCTTTAAATTTATTTTAATCAAAGGCTACAGATTCTTTTTGGAATTAGTTCCCAACGATAAGGACCAGTAGCCCTTTTCACAAAAAATCTTACGACATATTTTTATCTTAAGTAAAAACTTAAGATAAAAATCGTTTTCACAAAAATTCTTATAAAAGTCGTAAGTGCAAAATCTGTCGTAACTTTATGAGAGCCCCAACCCTCTCTTAAGTATTTTAAACCGATTTTATTGTAAAGATATAACCGCAAAAACCATAATACATGTTATATTGAACTTAGTAAAGCAACTTACAATAATATTTTATATTTTTTTTTTTTACAATCATTGTCGACAAATTAAATGAAATACACTACAAAATATTTACGATGTAAGTTTCACTTAAGATCTTCGTATGACCTACTTTTACATCAGACTTGTGATTGTGACGTCAGATTTTAAATTTCCTTGCTTCACAAAGAATTGCATTTGATATTTGTAGTATAATGTTTGTTATACTAACAAATGTTGAAAAACTATGTTTTATTTTTATTTTCACCCACTTATTTAAGGATTATAAAGCATATTGAAGTCGTTGCTAGGGATGAAGTCTGTCGTAAGTAAAATCTTAAGTTCAATCTGCTACGAATGCATTCGTGAAATGCACTTAAGATTTGTCGTAAGAGATTCTTAAGTTAAAATCTTACACAAAAACTTAAGATTTTTTGTGAAAAGGGCTACAGTCTCGATAGGAAATGGTAGATCACTATACACAGTAATAGCGTCATTTTTCCCAATTTAACCAATTTCGAAGAGTCCATTGCAACGTGTTGTTCAAACTGGTATTCTTCTTTAATGGTGCAATACGTCCGTACTTTTGAAGATTGCAAGTTTGGTAGTTGTGTCTGAATAAAGAGCTGAATGTTGCAAAACTTCATATTATGAACAATGTCGCTTAAATCTATTTTAAAAAGAAGCTTCACATGATAAAACCATCTTTGTGCGTTGTTTCCATAGACGTACCAAACCTTTCAGCTGAGAAAAGGATGTTACATGTAATCGGTGAATCCGAGAAAGTAATGATTGATTGTATTACTTTTCACTCGTAT